AGTAAGAAGTAACAGGAAGATTATATTTTTCTTTGCCACAACTCTTTCCTGTATAAAGCATGAAAAGTTCAACATACAAATCGGAGAACTACTTTCAATGCTAAAACATATAAAGAGTTGTGGCAAAGAAAAATATAATCTTCCTGTTACTTCTTACTACGAATGGTCTGTTCTAATTGGGTTTATATCTAAGGAATATAAAGTATTCAAGAATCAACATTCAACAGTCAACAACCCTCTTCTATTTATCATCCCGTTCTGAAGGTAAGACTCATGCTAAAGGATATTTCAGCAGTTGCCGTGCATAACAGAAATGAGCTCAGCAACCAAGCATGACCATATCTTCTGTCAACATTTCCACAGATGCATCTGCCAGCACAATACACCTGTTTTTCCCCCTGCACCATCACAAAGACAGGGAGGCCAACTGCAGCACTTCATCAGAATGCCAGAAGGGATTAATTTACACACGAGGCATTAACAATTGAACCTGGACTTTTCATGGAGTATATGGCTCCGAAAATGATGCATTAATAAGCCCTCAGACAAACTACTAGCAATGACATTCTTACGAAGAGCTGATGAACTGTCCAAAAAGACCCTGACAGAAAGGTCACAAGGCAATCCATCACAACAGACTGATAGAAAATAGGGTCGAGGTAAAAAGATAAAAAAAAATTATTCCATTCTCTCTCTTACCTGCATACCAAAGTCTTAGAATTGTTTCTAAAGTCGTTGACAAATTATACCTGAATTTCTGCATTCATTAATATTCAAGTTGTAAGCAGAGAAAAGAACTCAGTCAAAGGAGGCAACACATGGTCTATTTGAAGTCAACTTCAACAAACCTTGCACTGAATTACAAATATTACTTCACAGTGCAAAACAAATTTTACCTTTTGCTCTTGCCACTGCTGGAATTCTACCGTTATGTTCTTTAACTCAGACACAAAGTCACTTCGAATTAAACTTAATGCTTTGTCCAGCTGGGTTTTGTTTGCAGAGATCATACGTTTCATTGTTTGATAATGGTCATGGATATTCATAAGTTCCTTTAAAATACATGAAAAAAGTATTAAATACAAAAATTGCCTGCGCCAGTCAATTTTTCTTCTTACAGCAAAGTTGGACAGGTCTGACTGCCTTAGCCTCAGCTAACGGCATGTGAATATGAATACAACAAAAGACCACTGTTTTACTCCAATAATGCTCAGAATTTGGAATTTAACATTTTTAGATACAAATTATTCTCCAGTACCGTCTTACCTCCAAAACATCAACAGAAATGAGTTCGGACACCAGGTTAGACTTCTCTCGGAAGTTATCATTAACAGCATTATTGGGCATTTTTCTTCTCTTCTTATTGTAAGCAAGCTGAAAAAATTAATGCGAGCTCTCAGAAGTCAAATGGTGTCTTTTATTTAAAGGAAATATATTATTTCAATATTTGCAAACAAACGTATTGCATATTTTGAGAAAGAAACAAGTGAAAAGTGATCATAAAGTAGAGTAACTATTCCCAACGCAAAAGAAAGATGGCTACTGGAGTCCATGCAACACCCGCCCCCCAGCATTCCCCCTAATTTTTTTTTTTTTTTTTTTTAAAAAAACCAGTGTACGAGGTCCGTGCACTGCAGCAACTTCCGGAGCTGGAAGTCAATGCCACAATTGGCATGTCAATGCTGATCACAAATGTGGCAACTTGGAGCAGCTGCAGCTTTGCAGCTTAGAGCAAGTACTGCCCCCACCCCCTCCTCCGACATGATGTCAGTCAGCTGCGATTTGATGATGTCATGGGGTGGTGCATGATGATGTCAGGACCCATGCACATGCAAAAATGGGAACATGGACCCGCACCTACACTTGCATCTATACTACCACTGATTAACAACTGTGAAATGAAAGGAGATAACAAGAACTGCAGATGCTAGAAGTCAGAGTTGATACAGTGTGGAGCTGGAGGAACAAGCAGGTCAGGCAGCTTCAGAGGAACAGCAAAGTCAAAGTTTTGGGTCAGGACACTTCATCAGGATTGGGGAGGGGGAAGGGAGCTCAGAAGTAAATGGGGGGGGCGGTGCTGGGCAAGGGTAGGTGGGGGTGGTGACAGATGGATGCAGGTAGGGGGTTGTGCAGATTGGTCAATGGGAAGGTTCGGGTGGATAGGCGAGAAGAAAGACGGACAGGTTGTGTCAGGTCGGAGGCCAGGATGAGAGGGAGGGCTGGACATGGGATGAGGCCGGGGGTGGGGAGATTTTGAAGCTGGTGAATTCTATGTTGAGGCCATTGGGCTGCAAGCTCCCGGGGCAGAATATGAGGTGTTGTTTCTCCAGTTTTTTGGGGGGGGGGGGGGGGGGGGTGGAATTAGTTAAAATGGTTGGCAATTAGTAAGTGCTGTTGATTTGAGCGTACAGAGTGCAGATGCTCTGCAAATTGGTCACTGAGGCCAGGCATTGCAGGCTGCCAATTGTATGGTGTGATCCTTCACCTGCAGGTTTGTGTGCATTAGGAGCAGCATTTGAGCTCTGAATTAGTCCCTGGTCTTCCCCATAGGGAAATAACATGTTGTAATAAATCCTCAACGTTTATCTTACTCTTGCGGGTTGTAATGCAAAGACAGCGCATTGCTTCAATTATTTTCCTATCACTGGACAAAATGGCTGCCCAGAAGGAGTGGAAGCCTTGTTCAGCCAAGATCCCAGAGAAGCTTCTGATGCTTTGACTCTGCCCAGTCTATATAATCAGTGTCCTTAAAATTGGCAGTGCCATCTTTGTGACAAGACAGTTGTCAATCCATCATGATGCATATAAAAATGCAGTCAATGTAAAAATCTACAGCAACATGAAAATTACACCAGATGATAAACAGAGATGTGGCATTTCCCTATCAAACACCTCTTTACACTATCTGAATTAACAGATCAACTTGATGTGGGTTGGTGCTTCCATTAAAATAGAGAAAGCAACTTGATCCATTATTTTAAAGATTCATACACTACTGAATTTCCAACAGAACCACAATTCACTAAGTAACACTTACCAATATTGGCATTGCTGTGAAATGGAAGGCTTTGTCATGCAGAAGTTTTTTCAGAACATAAACAGCATCAAAATGTTCCGCTTTCACCATTTCCTCTTGGCAACTTAGCACTTCATCCCAATCCTTTAGTGCCATCCTTATCTGCAGATTATATAAATAAAGCTGTCAGTTAAATAGACATCGCTTAAGGCATTTACTGTGATCTTTAATCATAGCACGAAGCAACATGAAGGGGAAAATTACCTGGACATTCCATTACGTACAAACATATAAATTAGGAGCAGCTATAAGGCCACTCACCCCTCAATCCTGTTATGCCATTCAATAAGATCAGGCTGATCTGATTACTCCACATTCTTGCCTAACCTTGATAACTTGTTTATCAAGTATCTATCCACTTCTACATTAAAATTATTCAAAGACTCCCTTCTTCAAGAGATGGTGGAAGGGAGGCAACAATAAAATCGCCGTACTCCTTGGGGACCAGAGGGCTACTCTCTCATTAGACAAAAGACGACTGGTAGTTAAGTTTAACCCAAAGGTCACCATGCCTCAGGCAAGGATCCAAAGACATACAAACCTCTGCCAGAAAGATAAACTTTCTGCTGTCTATTTAAGACAAGCCCTTACTTTTAAGCAGTGACCCCAATTCTAGATTTTCTGATAAGAAGAAACATCCTTTCCATTTCCACCCTGTCTAGACTCCACAGGATCTTAATGGTTCAATCGAATCAGCTCTTACTCTTCTAAACTCCAGCAGCTACAAGTCTAGCCTGTCCAATCTTTCCTCCCATTCCAGTTATTAGTCTAATGCTTCTTCTCTGAACTTCTTCCAATTGGTTTATATCTTTCCTTAAGTAAATGAGATCATGTTGTACAGAGAACTCCCAATGTGGTCTTACTGGTGCTCTGTATAACAAACATAGCCTCTCTACTTTTACATTCAATTCCCTCGCAATAAATAACATTCTATTAGCTTTCCTAATTTCTTGCTGTATCATGCAATTCATGAACTAGGACGCTCAGGTCCCTCTGCATCTCAGTGCTCTGCAATCTTTTACCATTTAGATAATTCCTTTTCATTCTTCCTGCCAAAATGGACAATTTCACATTTCCCATAGTATATTGCCTTTGCTAGATCCTTTCCCACTCACTTAACCTTTCAATATCCCTTTTCAGTTTCTTACTTATAGATTTGTGTCTGCCGATAGACTTATGGCTGTATAGACAGCAAGCAGATAAAATTAAACTAGAACTGGATTATGTGCAGCAAAAATAGGAAAGAACAGGTGAATGTTAAGGGGACCACGTGGAATTACAGCACAAATTCAGGCCATTAAGTCCCATGGGTCTATTTAGGTAACTGTGCTCTACCCAAGCCTCCTCCCTGCATTATTTATCTAACCTCATTAACATATCCTTCTTTTTAGTTCTCCTTTATGTTTATCTAGCTTTCTCAAATACACCTGTCCTATTCACCTCAATTACTCCTCCCACCAGATTTTAAACCAGTCTTTGAAAACAAAGAAAAACTCACATTATATACAGCCCATTTTATAACTACTGGATAGCTAAAAAAATTCTTTACAGCAAATGAAGCATGTTCTGCACTGTAGCCACTTTGCAGTGTGGGATACATGTTAGTTAATTTTCACACAGCAAATTCCCACAAACAGCAACCTCAATGACAAAACCATCTGATTTTTCATGATGTTGGTCAAGGGATAATTGTCGGCCAATGCACCAGGGAGAACTCCCCAGCCCTTCACAACAGTGCCATGACATAACTCACAAGGTGGGGCCTCAGTTTAGTGTCTAATCCAAAATACTGCACCTCCAATGGTATTTGAAGTGAAAGTGGCTGAAGACAAAATAATTTGAAAATCTTTTATGACAATGAAGTGTATAATTACAGCCCTTTTAATGATTTGTAACAAAAGGCAAATGCATTTAAGCCATTTCAAATCAGTGGATGCACACATTAATTTTTCTTCTGTTTATCTTGGAGTACTATCAAGACTGTGGACTGATGCATTTGTGTCAAATCTCTGAAGTAACCACGGTATTCAGTGCAGTCAGAGCATGTAATACAAGATGAAGCCCATACAATCAATGGGACATGACCATTCTGGATTTTGTAGATGCAAAGGGAAGCAAAGAGCTACAGCATTTCATTGCAAACTGTTTTACAAGTGGCCACATTTTAACACCTCTACCTTTTCAAGGGCAATTAGGGATGACCACCAAAGGCTGACGTGGCCAGTAATGCTCATATCGCATGAAAGAATGAATACATAAAATAAAACTCTTGAAAACTACCATGACTCTCCTGTCCCCTTCCCTGACTCTGACAACACCAAAACAGCAAGTAATATTTGGAGACAACACAGTCTGGAGCTGGAGGAACACAGCAGGCCAGGCAGCATCAGAAGAACAGGAAAGTTGATGTTTTGGGTCAGGACCCTTTTTCTAAAGAAGGGTCCTGACCCGAAACGTCAACTTTCCTGCTCCTATGGCGGTGCCTGGCCTGCTGTGTTCCTCCAGCTCCACACTGTGTTGCCTCTGACTCCAGCATCGGCAGTTCTTGCTATCACACTGCAGTATGTGGTAAGTTATTATAAAAGTTTGCAACGTATCATAACTGCAATCATAATTTTACCACCTAACAGGGTCTGACAGCTATGCCCAAGAGCAAATGGATCTAGAGAACAAGTGATGTTATGTTAGTTAAGGGATGTGTGTGGGGCACAAGTCCTCGGTGGTTGAAGTTTTCTGATCGGAGTAGGAATAAAACTCAACCTAGATGGGTACATGCATGAACTCATTCTAACCAACATTTAACCTCTGGTATTCAATTGATAAATATAAAAGTCTTCGGCTTTAAAAGTACAATGTAAAAATGTTATTTTATATACTTATATAAAAGTTCAGCAAACAGTCAGTATTCTACGGCAACAGAAGTCACAATGAAGCTGCTTGGCCACACCTGCATTCTGTCTAAGTTCCCCTCCACCCACAGTCCCCAGAATTGCAACTACTTTAGCAGCACTTTAGCATCATCTAGCTGCTCCACTTCATCCTACATGGGTGGTTATGGATCACCTTTGACCAGCACTAGTCAGATTGAATCAGAGCTCCCAGGGAATAGAGCCAAGGTTCTGCAGCTCAGAACCAGGCATGCTAAGGAATGAAGAAATCCCATTACTGAGTGCTTTGATAACACTGGGATCCCAAACAGACCAAGTCACAGGACACAGCTGAGACAGCCAGCTGGAATCTCCCTCTCTCTAGCAGCTGGAAGTGGAGCCTGAAGCCAAGGAGCAGGCTGCGGTTGTGCTGGGGCCAGGTTTCTCCATTATTAATGGAACCTTGGATTGGGTAAGTTGATCCATTCATCTGTCTTGTACCAGTGGCACCAACTCCCATAGGAGGAGGCAGCACAGGAAAATGGGCTAGCGCGGGAGAGCCCTCTGCATACTACTCAAGAACAATAGCTACTGGGAGTGTGTTTTCTGCACCTCCCAATTGCAGATTGGAGTCAGGACGGCCAAGGCATTAAAGAGAGAGGCACCCCTGGTGAGGCTCCTTTGGGCCAGGCTGAGGTTAGATCTAAAATACAAAAGAGGAAATCCATGATCTAAACGTTGGAATTCCATCAAATTGCAGAAATTTCACACCTATGGAATACTACCAGAAATATCAGACTTACTTTTTATGCTCACACCCTGGAGGGAGATTAGAAGCCAGAAACCTGTGACTCAAAAAGATGAAATGCTACCAACTGAGCCATGGCTGACATAATGGGTAAATTATTTCCTCTGGATTTCCTACTGGATGTATTTCTGATCATCTTGCATTTCTGGCTCCACCAACAAGTGAAAATAATCTAAGTACATTTAATAGCCAAAGAACATAAAAGTACAAGTCTCCAACAAAAATTACAATATTGGAATAAACACAGGTTGAAAAAGAAATACGAGTCAAAAATTTTACGATACTGCGCTTACCTTTTCTTTTGGCTGACAAAGCTGTGTATTGTAAAGTCCATAAAGAAGGTATAAGCCCCCAAACCGGATCTGAAAACTATATGGGGGGAAGAAGTACTGACTTGCCAAGGTCAATGCCTCTCTGGTAAATTTTCTGCCATCATTTTTACCCATTTTTCCACTGGAAAAGAACAAATGCATTTATGTCAACACTTTGAAATCCATGTAAGTGGGTGATGTACACGCACAGGTGAATTGCCATACAACTCAGCGCCATTGCTAAACCAAAAGAGCAGAGTGACAAAGGATGTTGTGCTTGAAATTCACATGGTAACCATATTCCACACTGCTACTGAAGTCTTTTACCCAATCTGAGGAAATGGAGTTTTAGCTTTGACGAACTATTGAAACGGTACAACCTTAAATGTTCTCGATCGTTGCAAGAGAAATTTATTGGTGCACTGCCATTGGCTTATGTCAATGCTGAGTGCATACGAAATGTATTCAAATCTAAAGTTCTGAATGTTTTAATTTACACCAGCCTCCAATACAAAAATCAGAGCGAGAAAGAAGTTGTAGAATTTTTAAAAAATTTTAAGTAATAACTTGCTTTCATACAGGACTTTTAATACAGCAAATCAACCCAAGATGCTACACAGGAGTGTTAACAGAGTAAATTTGACACTTATATTCATATTGATAGGAAAAACTTGGAAAGACAATATGAATTGATAAAGTGCCACAAAAGTTATTGTAGAAAAAAGCTCATGTTTTAGCAGTTAGTATATTAGTAAGAATAAAGGATTGGCTGTAACAGCAAGCAGACAATAGACAGGTTTTTCATCTTTGGTAAGATGTAGGGAGTTCATCTTTTAACTACAAGGATTGGTGCTGTAATCTCAACCAGTTGCAATTCATATAAATGACTCAGATTAAGGGACTAAGGGCATGGCTGCTAAATTTGCTGACAACACAAAGATAGGTAAGAAAGTAAGTTGTGAAGAAGATAAAGGAAGGTAACAAAAAGATATACATAAGTTAAGTGAATCAACAAATAGTGGCAAATGGTGTATAATGTGGAGAGATATAAAATTGCCTATTTTGGCAGGAAGAATGAAAAGAAGCATATTATTTAAAAGGTAAAAGCTTTCCAAGTTCTGGGATATGGAGTGATCTGGGTATCCTAGTGCATGAATCACAAAGGTTTACTATACAGGTATAGCAAGTAATCAGGAAAGATAATAGAACGTTATCACTTATTGTAAGGACAATTGCATTTAAAAATGGTTATGCTTCAGTTATAAAGAACAAAGGTCAGGCCACATCAGGAATACTGTGCACAGTACTGGTCATCTTATTTAAGGAAAGATGTAAATATATTGGAAGCAGTTCAGAGGTTTGTTAGGCTAATATCTGGAATAGGCAGGTTGTCTAATGAGGAAAGGTTGGACACACCAGGCTTGTATCTGCTGGAACTTAGAAGCAGCAGCAATTTGATTGAAACTTATAAAATCCTTACTCAACTTGATTGGACGATGCCATTTCTTGATTCCCCATTATTATTTCTCGAGTTGTCCAATGTCCATCCGTGCCCCTCTCTTATCTTTCACATATCTTACAAGGAAAGATTTCAAAATTTTTTTATTACTAGCTGGCTTACTCTCATATTTCATCTCCTTCCTCTTATTGTTTTTTTCAGTTGTCCCTTGCCGGTTTTTAAAAGGCTTCCCGATCCTCTGGTTTCCCACTAATCTTCACTACATTATATGCTTTTTCTTCTGCTTTTATGCTGTCCCTGACTTCCCTCATCAGCCATGGTTGTCTCATCCTCCCTAAACCTCCCCATCTCCCTTTTCTTAAAATGTGCTTTAAAACCTACCACGTTGACCAAGTTCTTTAATCTGTCTGAATGTGGCTCGGTTTGCGCTTCTTTAGGATTAGGCAACAGAAAACTGCCCTGCCAGCAATATTCGGATCTAGGTTTGACGTGTAAAAATAACCATTCCCTGAATTGTCTTGGCATGGCATGTTCAACTATATTAAAAGGGTCTATATAAATGCAAGCTACTATTACTGAGAATTGGTGCCTCAACAATACTGGTAATTTTGTTTACAGTGTCACAGCGTACGAACAGTACAACATCTTGTATTCTACAACAAGGATTCTCAACTCAGGGTCTGAGGGGTATCTGGCAAAACTGAATTCCCAAACAAGCATTGCTGAATGATATCCAGGTTTGCCATGGAAACCACCATTCATGGTCACTGGTCCACCATATCAGCAAAGAGACAGTGTCGAATCTCAGCAGGGATACTCCGTTCAGCTTGCTAGTTAACAGGAAACAAGTGAGAGATGGTACAGTCATCAACACCATCAGTATTCTTATCAAGTCTTGTGACACTTTACCAACCCTCCTTATAGAATGATACTGAAATAGACAAACTACCAACTTCAGTGCTTGCCAAACCCAAAGATAGTTTAATCAAAGCCAGCAACCGTCTAGCTGGATCAGAATTCAGCTCCGGGGACAGGCTTAACTTCATAATAAATCTAGCAACCTCTATGCCAACCTATCAACTTCAGCAACACAATCTCATCTACATCCTACCAAACTCAGCCACAGTTTACCCAGGTCAGCGAGTAGGATCAAGATCAATTTAATTTGAAACCTTCACATCTCAACAGAATTGTCGTTCAGCATTGGTAAAAAGTTTCACTATAAGTAAAACAAAAATGTTAAATACATTTAGTCGCAAAGTCCATTTTTACACAGAAGGAATATTTGCATTTTGTGACAGAGGTTCAGAGGAATTTTATTACATAATGGACAGAGTCCTCAGAAAACAAAAAAGTTGAGAGTCCCTGGCTTGTAAGGTTTGTGTCTGGCATGAAATTGACCCCTAAGAATGCTATAGTGCTTAGGTGGGGTGGGGGGAAAAGAGAGAAAGAGAGAGAGAGCGAATGGAAAAGGACTGATCACAGAATTGCGTGGTATGCTTACACACCTCAATTTATGGCCTACTGATCCGTATATTTCTAATGCTACACATTTCAGTCAGGAACATTCCAATGCAATGCGGGAGAGGACAGCCAGTATAGTTGTGGTAGGTTTCCGTTCCTTAACAATGTGAGTGAACTCCATTGAATTTGTACAATAAAGGCATGGTCACTTTGTTGCTAGCCTAAATTACTAGATACAGAGAATTAACTTATGATCAAATCTGAATATTTAACCTCTGGTTTGCTCGTGCAGTAACAACAAACAGGTTTGTGCCCATAATTACAGTACCTTTTCATGTTTGAAATATTTTAAGATACCCAGATGAATAGATATTTAGTAAAGATCAATATTTACACTCTGACTTCACACCAAGAAACTAAGTGAGGTTGTGGTACTTTAAATCTTAATTACACAAGTATAATTTTTAATATACAGCCACATTCTAACTTTTGAGAAGCTGATTACTTGAATTTGCTTACTGCAGTTGCTGATACAATTTGCTCTGAAGACCCATTTGGCAAATATTGAGATAAAACAAAGAACTGCAGATGCTGGAACTCTAAAACAAAGATAGAAATTGCTGGAGAAACTCAGCAGGTCCAGCAGCATTTTTAGAGAGAAAACAGTCAATGTTTCAGATCTACTGACCATTCTTCATGACACGTTCTGAATGAACGGTCACTGAACCCAAATCATTAACTTTGCTTTCTCTCCACATATGTTGCCAGACCTGTTGATTTTCTCCAGCAATTTCTATTTTGATAATTATGGAGCACAGTTGCGGCTGAGCATTTCGTAATGGGTTTAATTACTGGTTTATGCCGAGTTCCCTAACAGTATCTGCAGGGTCTCTGATCTAACCAGCACTAAAATCAGCCTGTATACATGCATGACCCTGAAGAGAACTAGATCAGACTCCGGTGTGGCTAAATAAGTTAGCTCACATGAATAAATTTTTTGTTTTTCCTTCATTCATTCATAGGATGAGGGTGCCACTGGCCAGGCAGCATTTATTGCCTATCCCTAATTGCCCAGAGGGCAGTTAAGAGTCAACCACATTGCTGTGGGTCTGGAGTCACATGTAGGCCAGACCAGGTAAGGATGGCAGTTTCCTTCCCTAAAGGACATTAGTGAGCCAGATGGGTTTTTCCAACAATCAGCAATGAATTCACGGTCATCGTTAGATTCTTAATTCCAGATATTCATTGAATTTAAATTCCACCATCTGCCATGGCGGGATTCGAACCAGGATACCCAGAACATTATCTGGGACTCTGGATTAACAGTCCAGCGATAATACCACTAGGCAGTCGCCTCCCCGTCATTGTCATTGGCAAGATACTGAAGGATAACCAACACCTCTAGAAATGCAAACTAGGTAACTGTCTTAACAAGCCAAAATGGTTCTTACTAAAAGAGAGTGGAGAACTTCATGTCCCTCCAGATTGCAGAGAATTCCTCATAGCGCACACTTTCAGTCTGTTGAAAACGCAACAGCAGCCTCTCAAAGTCAGTTTTCAATCCAGCTGTCAATGACATGATTTCTGCAACGTCTTGAGTCACAGATAGGCTGGTGACAAACAAACAACTATCTCAATGAGATACATTTAAATACCAGGAAAAAGTAATACATATATTTGTGTGCACAAAACACTGCTTACCTATTTTACAAAACAACAGGGAGAGGTCACTGGATAAGTTCAGTCAGTGAATAGCTGAGCCACACAGAGCACAAATTTCAATCAGACATTGTGCCTAGTTAGCTTGCAAAAACTAGAACATCTGTAAGCCAGAAGAGTAGGGGCAGTCATTCAAACATTCAGGTCCCACGTTCAACTGCTAACCTGCCACGAATTGGCTGACTTTAATGCTCCTGGGACAAAGAAGAAAATAAATTAACCAGGTTTTCCAATCTGTGTGTTACCAATTCAAAATAAAAATGATTGTCAACCATCAAGAAAACCTGAGTAAACATCAAGCAGAAACAGATGTGGCCATGGTATTTGATATTGAGCCCATTCCCAGGCCCGTTTGTAATTTTTTCATTAGATCTGGGGGAGCCACTTGCTAGCCCAGCACCGATTTGCTATTCTCTAAATGCAATAAAGAAGGTGGTAATGAGTTGTCTTCTTTAGCTGTCATAAACCACATGGTATAGGTACACCCACAGTGTTGTCAGCAAGTTCCATGATTTTGACCCAGGAACAATAACAGAACGGTGATCATAGTTTCATGAGCTGTGTGCGGCTTGAAGAGAACTTTCAAATGACCATGTTCCCATGCATTTGCAGCTCATCCCTCAAGACAGAGGAAGTCATGGGTTTACAAATGGACATACAAAAAAGGAACAAGAGTCAGCCCTTCAAACCTGCTCCACCATTCAATACGATATTGGCTGATCTAACTTACTCTCAACTCTGCATTCCTGTCATCCCTTTGGCAATCAAGAATCGATCACTTCCTTAAAAATATAACGATTCTGCTTCCATTGCCTTTTGATGAAGGGAATTCCAAAGACCCTCAACAATGAGAGAAAAGATGTTTCCTCATCTGTGTTTTAAATGGACACACCTTATTTTTAATCTATGACCCCTACTTCTAGATTCTCTCTCAAGAGGAAACATGCTTTCAACATCTAACCAGTCGAGTGCCCTCCTGAACTTATATTTTTCAACTAAATCACCCCAGATTCTTCTAAACTCTAGAGGATAGTTTCTAGTCTTTTCTCATGATGCAAACCATTCATTTGAGGTATTAGTCCAGCAACCTTCTCTGAACCACTTCCAGTGCATTAACATCCTTCTCTACGTACACTGACCAGTACTATACATAGTACTCAAGATGCAATCTCGCCAATGCCCTGTATAAGTGGAGCATAACCTCCTTACTCTTGCATTTAATTCTCTTCACAATAAACCACAACATTCTCTTAACTTTCCTGATTACCTGAAATACCTGCTGACTAACTTTCTGATTTATGTGGCCCACTGTGCAGACCATGATGTCATTTTAAACAAAGGACCTGTTATCCCTTACCCCTGCCTGTTCATGTGTCTGTCTAAGTGCCTCTTAAACATGCTGTCATATACCTTTGATCACATCATCCAACTCATTTAGATAAATTGTGAAGAATTAGGCCCCAGCACTGACCCTAATGATACACGGAGGCATCATGCCAGCCTGAAAAAGATCCACTTGTTTTTACTCTCTGCACCATAATAGCTAACCAATATATTTTATTTTAGAATTTCCTATGACTGAAGCAAATATTCTAATTTAAAACATATTGATGGTTTCTGAGATTAACGGATAGGGTTGATTTATCGGATTTTTCAATTTTTCTAAGTGTTGGTTAAGGTCAGGGAAAGGGATGGTTTGGTTTAACTTCCCAACTTAGTTTAGCAGGTTCTGTTGAAAGACCCTGGATGAGTTGTTGCAGTACATCCTGTAGATGGTATGCACCGTTGCCACGGTTTATCAAAAAGGTGGAAGAAGTGAATGTGGCAGATATGGTGTCAGTCAAGCAGGCTGCTTTATCTTGAATGGTGTTAAGTTCTTGAATACTACTGGAACTGCACCCAACCACAGAATCATACACCGTCGAAACAGAACCTGAGGTCCAACTGGTCCATGCTGGGCATGTTCCCAAACTAAAATAACTCCCACTTGCCTGCGCTTGACCCAACTCCCTCCAAACTTTTCTTATTCATGAACTTATCCAAATGTCTTATAATTGTACCTGCATGCACCACTTCCTCTAACAGTTCATACCACACACTAACCACTCACTTTGCAAAAAAGTTACCCTTCATGTCCTTTTTAAATCTTTCTACTCTCACCTTAAAAAAGTGTCCCCTAGTTTTGAACCCCCTCCCCCCCACAAAGGGAAAAGACCTTTGCTATTCACCTTATCCATATCGCTCATGATTTTATAGACCTCAACCTCCAACAGTCCGATGAAAAACATCCCAGCTTATTTTTATACCTTAAACCTTCCATTCCCTGCAACATCCTGATAAATCTTTTCTGAAACTCTCTCCATTACTCCAGAAAAGGCCTCAATAACGTCCTGTACAAGTTCAATATGACTTCCCAACTCCTGTACTCAAAGGTCTGAGCAATGAAGGCAAGTGTGCCAAGTGCCTTCTTAACTACCCTATCTACCTGTAACACAAATTTCAAAGAATTATCTACCTGAAACACTAGATCTCTCTGGTCTACAACACTACTCAGGGCCCTACCATTAATTGTATAAGTCCTGCCCTCGTTTGTTTTACCAAAATGCATTACCTTGCATTTATCCAAATTAATCACCATCTGTCACTCCTCAACCCAACTGATCAAGATCTCTTTGTAATCTTAGATAACCTTCTTCATTCTCCAATATACTACCAATTTTGGTGTCATCCACAAGCTGTCTAACCATGCCTCCTATATTCTCATCCAAATCATTTATATAAAATGATAAACAAAAGTGGACCCAGTTCTGATCCTGGTGGAACACTGCTGGTCACAGGCCTCCAGTCCGTAAAAACAGCCCACCACCACTACCCTCTGTCTCCTACTGTAAAGCCAATTTTGTATCCAGTTGGCAAGCTCACCCTGAATCCCACGAGATCTAACTTTACTAAATAGTCTATCATGCAGAACCTTAGCAAAGGCTTTACTAAAGTCCAAATAAACAACATTTACCACTCTGCCCTCAACCAGGCAAGTGGAGACTATTCTATCACATTCCTGAAATATGCCTTGCTTCACAATGGATAAGCTTTGAGAAGTCAGGAGGCAAGTCACTCACATGAGAATTCCTAGCCTCTGACCTGCTCTTGTAGCCATATGGCTAGTCCAGTTTAGTTCCAAGTCAATAACCCCTAACATGTGCAAATTTCAGCAAAGGGAATCCCATTGGCTACTATAGAGAGATGGTTGGATTCTCTTTTGTCAGAGATGGTTACTACCTGGCATTTGTGTGGCACAAATGCAATTGGCTACATGTTAAACTAGCATTTGAGACAGCACAGTACCAGTACTTAGAAAAACTGAAAGATCAATTAACACTGTCCATTAATCACAAAAAGCAGCTACATGTTTTAAATCAACACACTTGCTTTAGACAAAGGAACTTGAGCTCTTACTGCACTGGTGATGTCCCTACCTCTGAGCAAGGAGGCTTGTGTTCATGTCCTACCTGCTCCAATGATGTGTAATAATATCTCTGAATAGGGCAATCAGAAAATATCTAGACACAAGACTTTCTAATGTAAATGTATATTAGCTAGCAATTATCAGTGGCACGTGTGGCAACAACACCTTAATATGCAGAGATAGTAGGAACTGCAGATGCTGGAGAATCTGAGATAACAAGGTGCAGAGCTGGATGAACACAGCAGGCCAAGCAGCATCAGAGGAGCAGGAAGGCTGACGTTTCGGGCCA